TGTCATGGCAATTCTCAAATATTGGTGATGGCAAATGCAACGCAGAAGGGTTTTATCAAAGTTGAAGTACCATATTTTGTCATTGATTTCAATTGACAAATGCCAGGATTATTAGTAATATAAGTGATTATCATTTTATAAAAGATACATGGAGCATTAAACAGCTTTGTAATGATAATAGCTCTTTGTTGAAAAATAGTTCACATTTTCCACTGGTCACGAAAACTGTATTCTTGAATAGGCCAGGTGCCAGGAAAAAATGAAACATTCTAAAAATGGTGCCTTAATTAGAATATTCACATTACATATACTTGTACTGTTAATACACAGATTTACCAGACAGTCAAATTTTTGTACTGATTTTGTATTTTGTAGGGTATCCATGATGAAGGCGGGGTGGTAGATAAAAGCCAAGCTCAAGATGATGCTAAGGAGCTGTTTGAGATGGAGGAAGATGAAAGATGGAATACAGAAAGTGGGAAATTTAATGAAATTATAACAGATTACAGCATGGCACAGATGCTGGCTGTATTAGAAGAGTATGCCAAGGTTTGTACATGATTGTCTGGTGTAATTTTTTTTTAAAAATGTAAAAAATTTGCTCTGAGGTATTTAAATTTAACCCCCAGAGCACTATAATTTGTGCCAAAATTTTGGTGCTGATTTTCCTGTTTTGATGTATTTTTCTAAAATGTTTGGATAGTTTTGGACCAATTAAACTCAATTTCCCATTGGATACTTGTCTTGATCAAAATTTGGGAAAAAAAGTATGTGGGATTTTTGTAACATAACATTCTCATAAAAATATTGATCTTTTGTAAAAAATAGTTTGACAGTACATTCATGTATTGTTTATTTCACAGCTTAAGGAGCAAAAAGTTACTGAGATGGTGGCAAATGAATTTGAAGGCCAGATGCATGATGGGATTTCCGCATTAGGTAAGGGTAGCTGTGTTTTCGGTGTTTCTCTTGAATTATTTCACCGAAGTAAATTGTTTCCACATTGATGAATCCTCAAAATAGTGTGACCTACTGTATTGTGACTTTGACATATGACAACAGAGATAGAGATTGCATGCATTTGTTTATGTGATTACCATGGAATACTACAACATCATAATAAATACACCAATGGGATAAAATATAATGAAGGAAGAAATATAAAGTGTGTCTTACCTTTGGAAGAGTAGTTTCCTATCCTTGTGTATCGCAGCAAACACATGGCTTCACCTAGAAGTCTTTTATTTGAGTTCATCTGAGACCTCTCTCCCACATGGAACTGTGAGGGCTCCTGACTATGAAATGATTCTATAGGATTAAATTCAGGAATGGGGCTGAACAAATATATTACATGACAAAATTAATCACATACATAAATAAAAAAACATCTATTGCTGAATCATATATTTTCAGGCTGTTGACAAGGAATGAATAAATTTAAATTTAATATTTCTTTTATATTATACAGTGAAATGTCTTCATAATTGTCCAGGTTTTCTGGCTGGCAGGATACACGAGAGTTTAACCAGTGCCGGCGATGATTCCACACTAGTCAGGGTTGTTGTTACACGCTCTGAGGTAGGTGGACGAAATGATTGCGTTGTTGAATTTTTACACACAGATTGTCTCTCGGCAATATAATCATGCAAACTCGGTTTTTTAACTTACATAAAATTTTGGACATGAACCATAGAATGTGATGCCTTGCTCGTATTTATTTATTCGTAAGGTCCATCGTCTTTTCAGTATTTGTGAGTTTTTATTGTAAGAACTAAATTGTTTATTTCGATTTCTGTGTTTTACAGTCTATCAAATTTTGAATGCGATAATGTAGGTTAACATACAAATTTTGTGAGGAAAATATATACACGGTACTAATAATGGTTAAAAGATGGCTTCTTTCTGTGAATATGGTGGCCTAAATCACTTTTTGTAAATAACAGCAACTGTTCGTTGAAATTTGGTGAAAATAATTGTAAAAAATTACAGTTCCTGAACAAGTATGTGCAGTGGTTGATAGATACCAAATGCTGGATGAGTTCTTTGGAAAAAAATTACTACAAATCTGTCTGGGTTCAAGTTTATTAAAATTAAGTATATTCTTTCTCCTCACCAGGTTGATCTTGTACAAATTAAGAAAATTTACAAAAAAAGGTATGGTAATACTTTAGAAGAAGATGTACAGAATAAATGTAAAGGCAGCCATAAGAAAGTTGTTTTAGAAATCGTCAAACTGGCAGGTTATCCCAAAAAGGTAAGTTTAAAATGAACTAATTTTTTTCTTGTTTGTTAGTCTTATTACTCTTGATTTAACACATTAACCGCCCCACGAATTTAAAGTGAGGTCACGTATTTGACTTTGTAAAAATACATGGATCTGATTGGTTGCACTACTCGTACATTCAATCAATCATAGTTGTCGTAGCATATGGCAATGGAAATCAAAATGTAGTTGCTAAAGAATGTATGCACATTCGATGAATAGAATCTGCCAAGGTATAGTGGTACAGCGATGACAAAATGAACAGTACTTGGTTGGTGAAAATGTTTTATTTACTGTTAAATTTTTGGTTATGGAAATGTTCATGGTTGATTATTCGAGGAAAATTTCACTGCTGCACAAATTTGAAATATTTCCCGTACACTGTCAATCAGGACATTGCAAAATAACAACCGTTATGAATTAATAATGATTGTTGTTTATTTTTCTCAAGGGTCAACAACAACAACAACAGCAATGGTCAGCACTGAAACAGGGCAATATGAAATATCAGGCACCACCCAAAGTAAAGCCTTTAAAAAGACCGCCACCAAGTAAGAAAAAAGCAGTAGATCCCGATAATCCAATTATGAAGACCCTGAAAGAGGGGAAACCTGTGAGCCATCCAAGGAGTGCCAAGAAATCAGTGAAAAAGGCAAGTATAAATCTAACCTGAACACCAAGGAAATGAGGAAACTTGTAGTTTATAGATGTGTGCTCTTTATAAAGAATTTACATTCGTTATCAAGGTTATTTCTGTATATTCTTGAGTTTATTTACTCTTATTCCCAGAAAATACCTTTACAAATATAGCTTTACTCATCTTTGGTAATGATTTTTACAATATCATCATGAATTCAGTCACTGGCAATATCAAGCTACTTTTCACATGTTCCAGTTGTCATGGTGATGATGGTAAATAGAAGTAGTGTAATTATAATAAATTATTTGTCTTGTTATTGTTATTGTTATTGTTACAGGGACAAGATAATGCATCATCCAGGTCATCATCTTCGACATCGCATGGAAATAAAGACTCAGACGATGAAAAATAGAGTATATACTATAATTATCAAATTTAATTTCTTATGACGTAGACTAAAATTGTTGAACGGTATTTTGTATGTAAATATCCCAAGTTTTTAAGTGACAATCTCCTTCCATGTACAGCATTATATGTTATGTTCTATTTGTAGATATAGTGTTCATTTCTAATTTGTGGTCGCAGAGCATGTAGTAATCGCATACTGTAAAATACTTTATTTTTCGCTTGGAATTAATTTTTCACTATTTTCGCTGAAGGAACGATTCAGTGAAAATAAAATCTAGAGAATATATAGATCTTTTTTTTTCCATATTTTACATTCAACTTGTCAAAAATCAGTGAAAATAAATTCCATTTAAAACACCCAAAAGTTTTTTCATTGAAAATTAATTTCAGCTAAAATAAAAGTACTTTACAGTAATAATTTAATAATGTACAATGGATTGTGCTTCTTCCTTGACATTAATTAACACCTTCAAATTCTCAAACATGATAATTTTTAACAGCAAATGGTTTACAGTATAAATATTTTGTGCAAAAGTTGATTTAATTGTTTTCAATAGTTGATATGACAGCATGTCAGATTAGTTATTTTATTAAA